GGATGTTCCGGCTAGGAGTCGGTTGAGCCGTGCCTAATTTAGTCGTCGCCGTAAGTCTCTTGGCAGCAGAGAATTTGGCCAAAGGTTTATATGTCGACTTACCATGATGTTTCTAACACTTGTCCCAAGTGTGCTTGGGTTTGTGACAATAATCACAAGTGAGGTGACCAGTCTAAGATGTCATGGACGAGAGTTGAGTATTATTGGAGATTATGGCGGACGATTCAGCTGAAGGAGTAGAAGTGTCGAGCATGACAAGTCCCCTTCTTTCCGACGAATCTCAGTAAAAGCAGCGTGAGCGAAAGGAAGAGGATCTCAACCAAAAATACGGCCCGGACTTCGTCAAGGTCTTTGTTAAGGCCAGCAAGGAATTGAAGCATACGATTCTTTTCTATAATCTTCTTGAAGAATGATAAGTCAGCCGGAGAATTTCAAGTGTAGTCGTAGTATAGTTCGTATTTCATCCATAGTGCAATAAAGTTATTATAGTACTAGGTCACGGCCCTCGGCCTCTGTTTTGCCTCCCGGATCTTCGTAGATATCTCATAGAGTTGGCCAGAATTTTCTACATCTGAGTAGGTATCACGGACAGCAGTTTAGAGAGCACTAGTAGTAGGGAGGAACATGTATGAACTACCAGTTGAGATCTCCATGGAGCTGATCAGCCATGACATGACCATGGAGTTCTCCACTTCCTAAGCTCGATAAGTCGGATCAGTCTTTGGAGGCTTATGAACCACATCTGTGAGGTAACCAAACTTCTCATATCCTTTGATGATTAAAGACAGCTTGGGACCATTGGAGAAAGTTACTTCTGTCCAGTTTATGGGTTGTGATTAAGAAACTTATGTTGGTTTTCGATCCTCCGGTCTGCAAGGGAGTGGAAGTTGGAGTTGATCCTCCGGTGGAATCAAGAATACCTTTTAAAGACGGTTCAAAGTTGGAGGAGACGACCATCATTCCGATAGAGCCAAAAGAGATGTTAAGGTTCCGAGTCATCGATGAACTCTGGTGTGCTTATGATAGAGGACTACAGGAAACTGACAAAGGAGGGAACAATGGTGGCTGGATCAGAGAACTGCGGCTGCTGTAGAAGAGGTTGTAGAAGCTTTGGTGGCTATCTCAAGACCTCGTGGCTATAGAGCAGCGGGATCTTGCAGAGAACGGGAACCTGCGGATAAGCATTGTAGAAGCTGCGACTGCTAGAACAGTGGGACTTTGCGGAGCAGCAAAACCTTGTGGGGTTGTATGGAGATGCTTCGTAGAACCTGTTGTTGTTGGAACCTGTGGTCACAGTTCTCTTGTAGGAACGTCGTAGAAGCGGATCAGAGGGAACCAGCGTTGTATACCAGATCAGAGGGAACTAGCGGCAGCACTGGAACCTGCAAAGGAGGCCGACAACTATGAGTTGTCGGCTGCTGGAACCAGCAGAGAAGGCCGACAGCTGATGGATCTAGTGTTAGACTCATATTCCATGTTGAAATTTGGAATAGACAACATGAATATTATTGATAGGAGGAGGGGCATTTAAACTAAATTACAATATGCATAATAAATGAAAGATATAAAAATAGAATAAAATAACTTGAAATGAAAATAAAACAGAATAACGCAAAATAAGAAATACATAATCGGAGAATAAGAGCAAAGAATAAGTAATAGTGGCTAGGGAAAACCGTTATAATTTAATATTATGTTCAAATAACCCTCTTCTGAATTAATCGGAGAATAAGAGCAAAGAATAAGTAATAGTGGCCAGGGAAAACCGTTATAATTTAATATTATGTATTTATTAAAGCCTCCGAGCATGATTAAGTAATGAAATAGCACAAAGATAAGCCGAGTAGAATTAATTGAGTTGTGAAATAATTTATGTTGTAGCTAGCTATTTAGTGTTTCTCCCCTTTTGTCACATCAAAATTTTTGGGGTTAAGAGTAAAAGTGAATAAAGTTCATATGGTGTTTAATTTAGACATAAAATAATACAGTTCAACTAAAATGTCAATCCAGTCATCAGTCTCACCATTATTCGTACAGGGAACTATTTCTAGTGATGGCTACTCGGGTATTGGTCGGTATCTTCCAATTCTATCTTTGATCAATCCAATGAACTGCTTGTAAAATCTCCATTCGTTGTCTTTAGATGGATGTAGAGTTGAATCCAAGTCCTGCAGGATGGGCAATCTCTTTATGGCTTGAGTGGCAAAGAAAATATGGGTGATAGAATGGATGAGGGCATTATTCCTAAGGAAATTCGTTTACATTCATATTATGATATTTGGAATTCATGTTACCTAATCATATGACTACGACTCAAGTTCTGTGACCTTTGGCAAGGATTTTTAATTACACGATGATATACTTGATGGAAAGATAATATCGACTGCATCAAATTTTGTGCAAGTGTGTAATAGGTTACATGAGAATGTAGGATTATGTTCATCAAAATCATTGGCTTTTTGCACGATAGAATGAAGAAGGATGTATTGAATATGCTATTCCTCTAATGAAAGAGAATTTAAATCAATAATGGGATGAACAAAGGGAATTTGATTTAGGATAGTATTGACCTTAGTCCTGTCGAAATGTTCCTCATACCTTTTCATTGCTCAAATATCATCTATAGACAAAGAAAATGATCAAATCACGCATATTAATTTCAATAAGAGAACCATGAAAATGAGATTTTTGATGATATAATTATCATCAACTGCGATATAATTATCATCAACAGTTATAAGTATTTTGAGAAAACATAGAAAAAAAAACACAGTGAAGAATGATATGCAATCCTGAACTTTAAATAGATTTGTGTTCTATTCAAGAACTGTAAATAGATCAATATATTGTGGCAACTTATGGATGTGTGATTGTTGTTATGACGTTGCATTTGGTATTTATCTAAAAACTTTAGCCACAGGAATGTTCAAGGTGTGTAGACATCTTATGCATCTAAAGAAAGAGGAGCATGATGTCATGCAATATATAGAGTAACCTTCATATCCTTAGATAGAAAGAGAGAAGAAAGCACGCCTTGATTGTCAAGTGAACTCTCTTGGAACAAGATGGCCCTGGAATCATGCAATCTTTGAATGTAAGGGCATTCCATGTGATGAGAGGGTCAAACTAGCTGCCATCAAGCACAGGAAGAACACTTTCTTGTGGTAGGAAAACCTGAAGCATCTTTGAGAGCGAGAAAAAGAGGTAAAATTTTTATCTGGTCCAAGATGAAATGAGAGATGCATCGTAAGTACTTGCCAGTACATCATAAATAAGACATGTTATTGAGCCTTCATAACTTACAACAATAAAATCTCTCGGTAGAAGAGCACACCGTTTAATTTGAGCAGCTTATATTGAAGTGTGGGCTAGCGGAGCCCGATAAGAACACCCTAGCTCAATATCTAGGAGGATTGAGATCGTTCATTGGCAACGTGGTATATTTACTATCCTATTGGATATTACAAGAAGTTCAGGCCATAGTTTAAAGGTGGAGAAACATCACGGAATGACCGGCATACTTTGCAAGCAGAGTTCAACTGCAAGATCAAGCAATAGGAGTACACCCAACAGAACATCTTAATCGACCCTGTTTGAGGAGAAACCGGTTCAGAATGGTGAACAGGTGGAACCAACCAGCAATTCCAACTCTGTACTAGTCGAGAAGTGCATCAAGTGTCATGGTTCTTATTACAATGAATCAGATTGCTCAAACAAGTGTGATCTCTTTTACTAAGCAGAGAGCAACTTTAGAGATGAGTCTCACTATTCCGCCGACAAAAAAGTGACGACAATGATTCCACCATCGAAGGATCGCGGGACTTGCACTGTCAACCAACCCATAACAAAATTAATAGGATTTGCGATCCTAACGAGATACCAAGAGGGAACAGTAGATTCTCATGATCGCGGGAAGTTGATTACGTCTGGAACTCCATTCCATTATCTATTTCAGCCTAATTTCATTCATTTCGGATTTATTTCTTATTTATTTATTTCTAATTAGGTTAATTCATATGAGAGGAATATTTATTCCTATTTTTTCCGAGGCAAGATTCAGGCTGAATTTTAGATATCAATTGCACTGTTAGGATCGGTTCTTAATTCTTTAGATTTGATTGAAAGGTCATCACTACTGCACAAATCTTGAGCTGATCCAACAATGGAGATATGGAAGGACCGTTGCCTTGTTCTACCTCTATTGCATGGAGGTAGCTATCTTAGCTTTGCTGACTGGACAACCTTGATTAACTGTTTTGTGGGGACTAAACAGATGCAGACCCCATGGAGCAAGTATGCAATTTAAACTAGATGAATAGTTGTGAAAGTGATTTTACATGTGTACTTAATTAGCTTATTGTATTTAATTTTTTCATTGCTACAATAATGAAGCATTCTCAAATAAGTTTTTTGTAACCATTTGAAGTTATGATGACAAGTAAAATACATTTATATCTTTAGTTAAATGGTCGGATCATAAGGAAAATTGGGAATATTAGTGGTTCGATCAAATATTAAACATTGTTATATTTAACTTCATTTATTTGTTAACATTGTTATATATGGATGCCAAATTTCTGTTGGGTTGCTATTGAGTTTTGGAGAAGTGATTATTCTATTTTAATGACATCTTCAATCCTCCTTTATATGGTTTGAAACTTGTCAGGTACCCCTTTGCTTTGCCATTTCAAATGTAGCTGCTTTCTTTCCTTACTTCTTTTCCCTCAAAATCTTCTATTGCTAAACACCGAAACATCAAACTTTCTTGAAGCTGCTATTTCTCGTTTCTTAACGTCTCTTTCCATAATTTTATTTATAGTTATACCTATCTTAATGCTGATCGAACATGCATAATAACAAACAAATTCACAACTTTAAGATATTGATTCATTGCAAGGAAAGTATTGTGAAAATTGTCTTACATCTGTTTTGTGAATGTTATTTGTTCTGAAAACAAATGCTCTGACATTGTTTCTACTCTCTGAGATTCTCAGGTATTATGTTGCACCATCTGGAAAGAAACTGCGTTCAATGGTCGAGATCCAAAGGTCTATCTCTAAAGTGGTCATATTCTCTAGGGACTTGAAAACCTGATGAAATGTTACTCTTAGCGTGTCATCTATAATTGAAAGCGTCTCTCATTATTTTTAATCATATTATGTTCTTAATTTCCTATTTGTATCAGTTTGTTTTGGAATGGCAACTGAGCTTTACTACTTTGCAGATACCTGGAAGAAAATCCAGAGTATGTTGAGCGTGGGGTGAACGTATCACAATTTTCGTTTCAGATCCCTAAACCTCTCCAAGAGAATTATGTGAAGAAACGAAATGCACGTTTGTTGAATGCTAGTGATGGCTCTGGTTTGGGTTTATCAGGGCTACCTGAACCTGTTGAAGGTATATGTGAAGATGGAAGGGAATTATTATAAATACGATTTCAACTATAAGGCTGCAAAGTTTAGACGAACTTTCTTTCTGAAATTCGCATATGAACAATATTTTTTATTAAGGTCATTTACGTACATACCACACAATTAGTATATATTTACATATCTAAATCCTAAACTTTCATATTTACATACATAGCACTCAAATCTTGACATCACATTAGAAATACCACTAGCACTAAGTTTTCAGAAGTAAAATACACTTTTATGTATAGGTTTTCAATCTAAAGTGTTATAAATGTAAATATCGAACTTTATGTTTTCGACATGTAATTGCATAAGAATGGTGTGGTGTGCACGTACATTTACCTTCTTTTTTTATTAAGGAGATTGCTCGTTGGCACATGACCACATTTTCAGTACTCGTCCGAAGTTAATAGAGAAGGCAACTTGAAATACAATTCTGACTATGTTTTTACTAGAAAATATTTGTTTATCTTTTTTTCCTGTGTCTATGTTTTGTACCATACTGATTCTATAAATAATTCAGTGTATTTCAAATACTTCTTGGTCTACTTTTTTTATCCATGTATTAATATCATTCTAGTGTGGCAATTTGGATGTTTCCATCAGTATTTATTGTCAACACTTTGCCCCCCTCTTTTATGAAGTACTAAATTAGCGCTGAGTTGGTTATATTTTGCTTTATTGTATTAGTTGGTTAAACCATTATAATGGTTATCATAAACACTATCCTGATCTCGTATGTACATTTTTTCCTATCAATGTCGTCCCTTCATTTAGCAAAGAGTGATGATAAATAACAGACAGAAAAATAAGAAAAATCCAAGTTGCTGTCTGCCTTAAACATATATTGTGAATTCTCTCACTGATAAATTTTCTAATTCTATTCTCTTTTGTTATAAATAGACAAAATGCGAAATGAATATCTGCGTGATAGGGTTGGTGTAGCTCTAGTGATGGACAAAATTAGAGAGAGTCGCCTTAGATGGTTTGGTCACATTAAACAGCGACCATATGATGATCCGATTAGGAGAGTAGATGTTTTAGATTTGACTTATGTTAAGAAAGGCAGAGGTAAACTTAGGAAGGCTTGGGCTTATTGTATAAAAAATGATCTTAATTTATTAGAACTAAATGAAAATATGACACTAAATATGATGCAATGGAGAAAAAGGATTCTTGTAGCGAACCCCACGTAGTGGGATTAAGGCTTTGTTGTTGTTGTTGTATTCTCTTTTTTTATAAACCTAATAAGCAAATTCAAGTAGCATTTAAGGCTTCTATTACACTAATTTATTTTCTAACCAACAATAAGGTAATTACATTTGCATTTCAAATTCATTTTTTTATGGAGAATGTTAGAAGCCTAGAAGGGGACAAATTTTTCCCCCCTAAACTTAATTTTCATTGATGCATTCTTTGAAGTGCAGGGATGAGACTGCAAAGCTACTTAGCATCATTTCGATGCTTTGCAATGCCTACTTTTTAAATCATTTACTCTTATTTTCTAATTTTTCTTCCTTGAGAATAATGTCAAGCAAATTTACTTAAATAGTAATGAAACAAAACATATACTTAGTTTCTAAAAATAAAATCTGACTGGTTTTTATGATGTTCAGCATTCCCTCTATCTTGGGCCGCTCCACCAACTCAACAAGAAGCTGAGACCGAAGAACCCGAGCCCGCTTCTGATCTCCCTTCTTCCGAATCTTTGCCTCACACCAGAAAGAGAATCGCCAAAGAACAAGTTCGAAGGCCGTCGTCAAAGAAGATGTGCGCGAGCCCCCAGGACATTCAATGAAACCAACTACAGGCCCTCAATGAACTCCTGAGAAATTTGACCACAGATGAGTATTTACTTCTGAGAAACAAAGAATGGCAATTTCCATGATGTTTATTTTGTTTAGGAAAAAAAAATGGGCTTTGAAATGGCATTGAGGATGCTGTTATTTTTGGTTCTGTATTGGGAAATTCAGGGCCGTAAACAAATATGTCATGTCATAGGTTCACTTTGCTTAAGCACTGTTCGTTTATTTCTTGGAGAAAAAGCCTTTTGTTAGGGACTAAGTGCTAGTTTGAATGTCAAAATTTGTATAGATTTGCAGATTGTAATGCTTATTTGTCTCAAAGTGGCTAATTGTGATGCTAAATGTTGCCTCCAAAAAATTAAGTTTTGGTATGCTGTCAGTATTTCAATTTGTTATTATGGATGAATGGTTTTAATGTTGTTTCAAGTCATTAATGGCTGAAATAGGATTCATCATGAGAGAAGGAAGACTTCATGTGGTTCAAATATTTACTTTATAAAGTTTGAAGCTTGATTAAATTAGAATAATAATTTTTAATATGTTAGTAGTGTTCTTTAGTTCTATATATATATATATATATATATATACATATATTTGATTGATGTTCATTTAATAATTTATGAGGCTTAATGCAAGCATTAGCCGTTTGGGGTTTTTTTTATGTTTTATGCATTTTATTATATTAAAATTATAAATTGCATATTTTTAGTTTCTATTATTTTGTGATTATTTATTCCTGACAAGCATAAAAATGAGCAAATTAATAAGAAATGATTTTTTTTCTTTTAATAAAATATATATGAATAGTATGTATGCACCTTTAATGAAATATTATTCAAGCTTTAAATATACTACTAATGGCCATCATTCTGCATTGGGGTTGTTTGAAATCACTTCAATTTTTTACTGTTAATGTTTATAATTTTCAATTTATGCATGTTCTAAAGTAAGGTAAAATTATATTTTTGTATTTATAATTTTCTTATAGGAATTATTAAGCATTTATGCAACACATAAGATAAAATTACTATTAGAAGTAGTGGCAATAATCCCATCTCATAGCTCTGCATTAGCATTTACAACTTCCCAATAAAAAACTCACTTTTTTTCTAGTAATCTCAATGTAAGTGTTACAAGAGACTCGAGGGTAAAATAAAGTCACTATAGAAATAGTGGCAATAATCCCATCTCATAGTGGCATTAGAATTTACAATTTCCCCATTAAATTTCACTTTTTTTTGGTAGTTATCTCATTGTAAGGGTTACAAGAGAATCAAGGGTGGCAAGGGTTATCAGAGCATGAGAGGGATACTCTTAAGGTGAGATTGAATGAGCTGAGGCTACATGTTTGAAAAATTGGATGAAAAAAATGATTGGATAACCATGTCATTATCTCTAAAAAGTGTGTATCACTCCAAAATTCATCGAAGAGAGATAGTAAATTTGACATTAAGTTATGTTTGGATATAGAGAGCAATAACAATTATATTTCAAAATAAAGATCAGAACTTCAATCTTCATATTATGTCCTAAAATCAAACTCAGATGTTGAACAGCAATGACGTCACTTTTGGACCTATTTGATCATTTCGATCAATGTCAATATCTGCATCATACTTTACATAATCCGTCACACATACTAGGGGTCTATTAGTTGACCTCATTTTTTGTTCAATCATTTTTTTAGTTTGTGTTTCACTAATCTCACTGGAGATGAATCTTGAGCTAAACCCTAAAATCAAAATTTAAATTAATAAAAATTAAAATTAATCAACTAAACACTAAATATAACCCATTTTAACCAAACCCTAAAAAATAACTTAAAATTTATCTTAATCAATAATACCATAAAATTATCATTTTCTCTCTAAAAAACATTGTAAAACTCAAAACTTCATTTTGAAAGTTGCATGATGCATATTGTCATGTATAAAAACCATGCAAACAAGTTTCATGATCGTTTGAAATAATTTTTACTTAAAATTCTTTAATTTATATTTCCATGCATGAATAGTGTTTTCTTAGTAACCTTAAAATTATCATTTTCTCCATAGGTTAATTCGATGATTAAAATTACATTTCGCAAGTTTCATATTCTTCATAATCACATATGGGAAGCATGCAAACCAATTTGGTGGTCAGATATCGTTTTACGTAAAATTATGCACTTAAAGATTTCATACATGAATGTGAACCCATATAGAAATTTTTAATGAGACATTATTTTTCAAAATGGACTTCACCATTGTATCTTCATTGCCAAAATCTTTCAAATGAATATTCCCGCTCTCAAATTTGACCTCATTTGGAGGCCCGTTGAGCCGATAATAATGAGGAGAGAGAAATTTTGATAATCAAAGAATAATTTACAAATAAGTAACCCAACATGAGCTTAAAATGGAATTAGTTTTCAACAAAACTTGTTCAAAATTAAAAAATGCTCAATTTGATCTATTAAAACCACCCAAATACTCTAACTTATTATCCACATATTTTCTCTCTTCTCTAGGTTTGAGCCCACTTTGACCTGAAATATCTTGAGATGTCGACTGTTTTGACTAAAACCATTTGCATCACTGAATTTCACATATTTTTGTTTAGCAAATGAGCTTAAATCAAAATTTTATGTTATAAATACCATAATCACCTTGGCATTTCAATTTGACGTAACTTAAGCTAAACACCTTTTTTTAAAATTGTTTGGACTATTAGATTCATTGTTTTATCCTCTTCAAAATGACATATACTTGTGTTTTGTCCTAACCAACATAATTATCTTGCCAATATACCTAAATTCCCTCCCTCTTTAAAGAAATTCCCCTCATTTCTCCCTCCTTTAACCATTCCCTCCAACCTAGTTTAACTCCCCCCCAAAAATCCCCCACTTAAAACCTCCCCCCAACCAAATTCCCTCCATTCTCTCCTCCCTCATTCTCTCACCTAAAATCCCTCCCTCCCCCTAATTTCCCTCTCTTAGTTTCCCTCCCGCTTTCCTTCTCTCTTCTCCTTCCCAAAAAAAATCGAGAGCTACTCCCTCCATCTTTTCCCTTTCTTCCATCATTAAACTGAGGACATCAAAGCAAGGGGGCAAAAGGATCTCTCATTCAATGAAAAGAATCAAGGCAAGGCAAAGAACTAAAGACAAATTCAAACAAGGAAGGTATAACTCTCCCTCTCACTTCAAGTTAATTTTTCATAATGTACTTAGTTGATTTCATGGTTTCTTCTTATTTTTTGTGTTTTCTCTCACGTTTCACCATGTTTTGTCCCTTTTATGTCCTTCTTTCATGTTTCACCATAAGCTCTCTTTGTTTTACCCTCTTCTATTTTCACCATGTATCTATTTGTACTACACCTTTTGTCTCATTCTTACCCCGTATTCGAACCCCCTATAACCTTTTCCCCTCATTCTTATCCCATGATCGAACCCCATATCACCTTTTTTCTCACTTTCACTGCCCCATAATTGAAACCCTATACACCACTTCAACCCATTTCCTACCCAATCTGAAACCTCGCCACACCCTCACTTGGTCGAAACCTCACCAAACCCTTAGCTTCATCCACCTCACTTCTGGATGTAGAGATTCTATCTCACGTCTAGTTTAATAGTGATCGTTACTTCAAATAAAAATAAATTGATGATATTTGTTCATCATTCCAAATAGGATGGTGAATGTGAGTCGTCTATGCAAAACCACACGATACATGCAATCTAATGGACTATGTTTGATAGGATCTCTACATCCTTAAGGGAAAATTTTACGGTCGATTATTTTTGATTTAATGGTTTCTTTCATGAAGGACTAGTTATCGCAACCTAAAACTAAGTTTCAGTGAATTATCTCAATTTGCAATTAATTTCTTTGGTCTGAGTGGCATGGATCAATCTGGTCTCTATGAACTTTCTTCGTGATCTGATTGAGTTGGTTCGAGCTCCTTCCGAGTTCTCGATCAAGCACATCCATGAGTTGTTCTAATAAAGGGTTAGAGGACTTGGATTACTGGGAATTGAGTGATGGATTGGGTTTTATGCTTGGGAAATGTTTTAAGATAAAGGATTGATGGGTATTAACATAATTGGGTTGGTCCTATTTCGGGCTAGAAAAATTCTTGAAGAATTGGTAAGGGGAAGGTTCAGGATCAATGGAGGAAGTGCCTAGGTAAACTAAGAAAGTTTTGGGAATGAAATGGGTAGAGCTTCGTTGAGGAATTACTAAGGTTTCAACAACCTTCAATGGATGAACATGAGACCTATTTATAGGATTGGGTCGGGTTTAGTGAGCCTTGAATTGGGTTGGGGCACCAATGATTGGTTCCTTACTAACATGGCATGATCAAAATTGGCATCCAATAGAGTTTGGACAAGTGTTAGGTCCAAAAATGGTGGGCGACCAATGAAGGAGCTCCAAGTGTGCTTCAAATTTTGAGTGGCTTCCTTGAGAAGTTAAAGGGTGGTTGGGTGAGCTCAAGGTAATCTCCCAAGGTTGTGAAGGTAGTTAAATTAGTTAAGTTTATGGCCACTGGGGGCTAGCCACTTGGAGGGGCTCAGTTTCATCTTATTTAGATCAAATACCAAGTGATTTGGACGGCTTCAACATGGCTTGCTTTGAGCTTGAATTTGAGCTTGGTTTTGGCTCATAGGAGTTGGCTTAAACTTGGGCCAAGGTTGATTGGGTAAATGAGTTCAAGTGAGGCATTAGGTGGCTTTGCTCCAAAGTGGACGTGGCTTTGGATTTGGCAAGGATTGGCTTTGGATTTGGCAAAGTTTGAAGGTTGATTTGGGTGAAATTGAGTGTGATTATTTGGCTAATGAGAGGCTTGAATTTTGGCGATAATGATGTTAGGAAGTTTAGTTTATGGGTGGGTGTAATGCTTAGTAAAAGTTGTGTTAAAATTGGAATTTTATTTTGAAAATGGGTTAGCTTGAAAGTGTGTAGTCCTTTCTTTAAGTATTGATTGAAAATGATTGTGGATTATATAACTGGGTGCGCTAGTGGGTTTAAAATTTAGGAGAATTGACTTTTAAGCAATGGGTAGGTTTGGGTGAATTTTGGAATGGGAATGCGGTGGAGGAGAGCGGTGAAGAAAATTTTTATTTTAGTTTTATTTCATAATAAAATTTGATCATTGAATTTTATTAATGAATTATCAATTGAAATTGGTTATTCATCTTTTCTATAAATTATCAATTGAAAATTCGTCTTTTTTATAAATTTTATACAATTTTGATTTTATCGATGAATTATTTTTTATTTTTTAAAATTTATTTCGTTTCAATTAAAGCTTTAATTTTAATTATTTTCTAATTCATTATTATTTTGCATTTAATATTGAATTTTGCCATGTTTTGAAATAATTTTAAAATTTTTATTTTTATTTTTATTTTCATTTTCATTTTTTGTTTTATTATTTCATTAATTTTTGAAATTTTATATTTGAATTTTCAATTTTAATAGACTCTGAATGAGTTTGGTTTCATTTTATTTTAATTTTGAATTATTTTATTTTATTTTTATTCTCTCTTTTATTAATTTTTTTTAAAGGATAAATCCCATATTAGTTCAAAATGATCATCATAATGCACTTTTTGAACCAAAAAGTGAATCTTCCAAAGAATTATGGAAAGAAAGTACAAAGAGTCCAAAAAAAAACCAAACCAAAGTCCCAAGTCTCTAGGGTAAAAGGATGTCTTAAGACATTTCCAAGCCTATAGGGACTAAACCAAAGCTTTAATGGCTTAATCTCAATCAACTCAACGAAGTGTTAAGGATTTAAAGTAAAGTAAGTGAAAATATAAAGAGTGAAGATTTGGTTCAAAATTCTAGCTTGGTGTTAGGTTTCATCACTAGTTCTTCGGGAAATCCATTAAGAAAATCCTAAGGCTAAATACTAAGTTCTAGAGAGAGGAATGAACGATATAGTCCTCATGCAAAAACGAGGTCAATAACATCCCATCAAATTCACGACAGTGGTTGGAGACATGGCGCTGACTTGGGAGCTGCGAAGCCACCTTTAGAACCATGACGTCATACTGTATTTTGCAATTCTATGTCCGACTAGTCGGCTATCAACTATGCACATGTAGGCCCACGAAAACTTCAAGCCTAACAGCCTAAAAAAAGAAAAAAATAATACATCAGTACTACGCACGTAAAAATAACGTGCGTAGCCAATGAAATCACTCTACGATATCCCGCGCGACAGAGAAAAAAAAAGGCGTAGTAACACGGGGAATATTCTCCCTTGTGTTTATTGTGTGTTACTGCGTGTTACTCATGTGTGTTATTGTGTCCTGAGAATATTCTTTATAACAC